CTTTGATACCAAATCTGAATCTGATGTACCAAGTCCCGAGTCCCAAGTCTGAGTCTCTATTAAAAAACCGGGGTAGGTGGGTCATGAGTCCAAGTCGTTGGAAAAAAAAACAAGTCACGTCAAGTCACTGGTGTGACTTAAGTCTGACTTGACAGTGAGTCCTGCGACTTGAGTCCCCACCCCTGGGAAAAGATGTTTCCAAATGAGTTCCCCCCCCCCAATTCCCATCATCCCAAAATAGAATTGGGTTGATGGGTACTGTCGTCCAACACAGCTGCAGGGCTTCTTGTTAGGATAACTTGAGTTGAGCTATATTGTCCAATCAGTTAGCTACATTTGGCTTGATCGACAGTGAATCTTCAGGGTTTCAGTCATCACTCCTTTTCCAGCTTCATGAACAGAGACTGCTTAATTTGAGATTATTATAGGGACTGAATTAAAGGTCTTCTACTTACCATATGTATGCTCTGTTACAAACCTATTCATGTCCCCTCTCAAATGAGCTTCCAGCTTGCCAGTACAGGAGGACAAGAGATGCTCACTTTACCCTGGAATGCCACTGAACAGAAATGATATAACCATCAGTTCCATGTATGCACTGGGTTGCTGAACTTACTATTGTTGTTGTTAAATGACTTTACTGTTTTGCACAATCTCTATCATATCAAACACAGCTGAGACACTTACTTCAGTGTTTAAATATATATGTATTATCTTATGCTTAACACTTATATAAATGAGACGTACACATAAACAAAGCAGTACATATTCTACATACTATACATATCATACCCTATCAGATGCAAACACATGGCAATGTATAAAAGGGAAGGGGAAATATTTTACAAGTAAAATTATATTTACAAAATGCATTTTGACTCAATTTCTATTTAAGGAAAATGTACTTACGGAATGCATTTAACTTTATTTAAAAATATGTGATATATTTTTGTTAAACATCATAAATGCCTTTGTGACCCTGTGCACATTTGCTCAGGAATGAAACTCCACAGATCTTATTGGACTTTACTTCCAACAAAACAATCACAAGAATCAGATCTTATCTGATGATTCAATTTATTTTATATCATCAATTTGCATTAAAAGGTAAGTGTAAATTTCAGCAATAATCCAAAATTCTTTGAATGTTTAATGTTTCACCTATGATTCCAGCCTCCCTTCACTTGGGTGCCAATGCATTTCACTGTAAAATGTCAGTAAGATTCCTCTTTAAATGAAATCATTGGCAGCTATGGAAACAGGGCTCAACTTCAGTGTAAAATGGAAATGGTTTTATGGAAAAACAAGAATCCATTTTGTCTGGGTGGCAAGCATATTAAACCAACACATTATAGCACAGTTTCTGAAAAAGAACATTTTTGGATATGATAGTGTGTGTTATCGTGTATTTTGCTAGTTATGGACAGAGGGATGTGGCTGGATGTCTGTACTTCTACATAAGCATATAATATTTCTGCATGTGTATGGAACAGAGAGCCAATGTGGTATAGTGGTGAGTGAGGGAGAACAACTTGGACAATCTGGGTTCAAATCCCTGCTCACCCATAAGAATTAATTAGGGAGTGTCACTGGCAAAACCACTTAAATATTTCATGCACCTTGAAAACCTCTGTTAGGGTCATTGTAAGTCATATATAACTTGACAGCACACGCAAACAAATGGAACAGTACAGTACATATATATTTGGAGAATTTCAGGCTTCATTTAAAATGATAGAAATAATAATTTTGCATTCAATTCCTTGGTTCTTCTTACATTGCTTCTCAAATTGCTGCGAAGGAAAACAAGGTATCTCCAGAACAATATTTATGTTAAATCATTATTGTGAATTATTCCATCTAAATAATATGCTAAAAATAAAAGTCACAAATCAGAGAAATGTTTTTAAAGCAAAGTCTAGCCATAGAAATAGCTATTTTTAGTTTCTGAGGGCTGTCCATACTCCTACTGGTAAGAAAAATTTTAAATGGTCTTTTGGAGAGTTGAAAGAGAATTGTTCTTATATCTTTCCAAGTCTCCAATTTGAAACGTGTCAAAACCTTTCCAAAGCAGCTTATAATGTATGTCTGAGGCCTCATTGTTAGTCTTAGCAGAGATGTAACATTAGGACTCAGAAGTAAAAGCAAACATCTCCCCTTAATACGCCATAACGTTTCCAGCACTCCAGTTCCATCACCCCTGTCATATCGACTTTGCATGTGTCCTTTCTAGCTTTCATTGCCAGCCTGAACCTGCACCTCATCCGAGCCCGTCCTGGGCGAGACACAATTCTCTGGCAGGGAAAAAAGCAGCAAATAAACAAGTTGAGTGGTGTAAAAAAAGAGAAAGAATTGCCTTGCAGGTGCTTGCAGCTGGCGGTTAACTCAGACAGTAAGAGGATCAACTCCATCTCCAATGGCTAGAGAGGGAGACGGGGGAAAAAAAATAAAGCTCCCACATTTACTATTCACAGTTTAGTTAATTTGGATGATAACGGTTAGTTTCTAATCCCATTGTGCAGGACTGAATATACTGAAACCTACCAGCCTTCTGAAAGGGTATCTCTCGCAAGCAGAACAACACTCAGGAGCGTCCCCCGCTTGGACCGTGCAAGACACGCACAGTTTCTGAGAACCATTTTGTACTGGTTTGTTTAGTCATCCATCAGGTTGCAGACAAAACAAGTTGCAGACAAAACATCAAGAAGCGAGATCTCTTTAAACAGTCCTGCCATGAGACAGGAATGTGAATTTGCATGTTGCCGCTGCCACAAGCCAAAAGAGAAATGTTTTAAAAAGGAAAGAAAGTAGCACCAAACCAAACCAATATTTCAGGAGAGATCGAACGATGTTATTCTTCATAGCTCAACTAATAAAATAAAGATAAACATCGGGGAGGAAAAAAAATCAATCTTATTTGAAAGTAAAGAGTTTGCAGAAACTACCCTCGAAATTTCAGCTCTGAAATAAAAAACCACGTTCCTAATATTTCTCTGACGAATGCACCGCTTCCACCACGGTTAAGGATTAAAATGTGGATACATTGGCACGCATCTCCAAAGTCGAAGTGATGTTTTTATTTAAACGTGTAAACTACAGTCACACTTTGAGTTGCATTTGTTATTCTGATAGTCAGTGTGCAAATTGGCATACTTTGGGGGCGGGGGTGTCCCTATGTAACTAATTAAGGAAGTGCTAAAGAAAGTTTTGAAAGAAGCACGAAAATGCGCTCCAAAGCTTTGGAGAGGCAAAGGATACACCCTCTTTTTAAAGCTAAGTTCCTCAAGTTCCTGTTTGTGTGTTTTCGATATTTTCCTCTTCAAGCCATTCAAAAGAAAGCGAGCAACTTCCCCACGCTCCATTATTTCCCCCCTCAGCCCCCCCGGGACAAATGTGTTGCCCCCCAAAAAGAGAGCCCGTTGCGCTCTCAAGGCGAGGAGCGCGGCTGCCACAGAACAGAGGCCCTAGGAAAAAAGTTAACAATGCTGTGAAAATATGTTTGCAGAAAATAGACAATTGTTGGATTAGACGTATTCAAGTATGAAATAATGCCTTTTTGTGTAAAAACTTCAGTAATGTCCGTGTACAAAAGTTCCCTGTGGCAGTTACTTGCTCCCTTTGTGAGCGTTGCGCTTTGGCGTCTCCACTTGGCGCATTTCACTCCAAGCCCCTTTAAACGCGATTGTTTCTTTCTTTCTAATGACATTTACCGGATCAAAACATGCTGTTAATTCGATCAGAAAGCTTTACCCTCCCTAACAATGCCACTATAATTTCTCCTGAAGTTTGTTAAATTGACCAAAATTAGGCAAATGAATAGGGGGGTCTGTAGGCGACCCCTCTTGCAGGTGACACCGCATAAAGCACTTTCAGACCAGCTGCAATCTCCTCTTTATTTTGCCCCTCTTTTCTTTGACCCGCATTATTAAAATTTAGGCCCAATGAAACCATTCACACTTTTCAATGGGACATTTTCCTATAGGATAATAGGCTACAAATTGAGCCTCTCCAATGGGTGTGCGGGGAGGAGGAGGATAAAATAACAAGCTCGAGATACACACACCACACAAAAAAGGACCGTCGTGTGCCAAAGGTCTGAGGGAGCCTCCCTGAGTCTGCGGAGGGGAGGGGAGGAATTTTTTAAAGAAAGGTGGAGGGGGAGAACTCTTGTGCCAGCCTCCAAGCCCCCACACCTGCCGGGGTGTCCCCGCCACATAAAGCGGAGGAAAAACAAAAAAGCCTCGCTGCCATCTCTCATAAAGATGGACGTGTCACCAAGTCGTGTGAGAAAAGCTTGAGAACAAACGGGCCCACTCCGTCTCCAAGGACTCTTCCTTGAACTGGGCGGAACAGCCTATTAAGGGCTTACTTAATTACTTTAATGACTCTGGACAGGCTTTAAAATGCAGTCAGCGCTTGGACAGGGAAGGGGGGCGGCGGTGACAGTAGGGAGGGGGTGTGGGGTGCCTGGGATTTGTAAACAGGCGGTCGTGTGAGAGACCGACCGGGCGTTTTGGGCCTTCAGAAAAAGGGAGCTTGTGTTTCACTGGCGGCCAGCGCGCCCCTGCGCTCATCTCACTGCTCCCTCAGCCGCGCGATGCCCGGTTGCCATGCAAATACTCTTCGGGCGCGGGGGGGGGCAATCACGTGTCCTTTGAAGGGCCACGTGGAGTGACAAAACTGATCTGTCGTCCACCCCATCCCACCCCCCAGACTACCGGGGGGGCACACGAGAACATACACCCATTAAAAAAAAAAACACCCTGATCTTTAATGCATGCCTTCTCCGAAGGCTGCTTTCCCTAATCCTGTGGAATAAGCCTAGCCATAAATATCATCTCGCCGCCGCCCCCCCGCCCCGCCACTTGCCTTTCCTTCAGAAATGATCGCTTTATAAACCGCCACTTGGAAGTGAGGGCTCCGCAATCCACCTGAGCTACTTCTCAGGGAGGACACTGGGGTGCCTTCTGCTCGTTTTTGCCCAGCAGCTTCTCGCCCAGATGGCCTCCAAGCTAAAGGAACGGAAAGTGAGTTGGAGAGCACCCGCGGTCCCCGTGGCCCGCGCACGGCGCCCAAAGAGGGGGTGCCCCAGAGCAGCAGAATCTCAGCCTTTGGGTTTGTGAGAACGGCAGGGGAGGAAGCTCTGCCCGAGAGCCCAAAGAAGCAAAAAAAGAAGTGGTGGGGAGCCTAAAGGTGTTCAGGATGCCGAAGGAGGCCTTTTCCTCTCTTTGGTCCTGTCACAGTTCTTCTTAAAGTTTCTGACCTCTCCACACGGCTCTGAGGTTTTGCCCTCTTTTTAGGATTCTGCCCCACCGTGAACCTAAGAGCATGATCACCTGGTCTCCCGTTTGCAGGGCTGCTACTGGAAAAAAAAATAGTTTTGGAGGAGGTCTTTCTTTGATCTCCGACGTGTTACCTGTAGGTTTGATTGATACTGGGGATTCACGTGTCCCTGCCTTTGTAAAACAGTGCAGAGGAGAACCTTAGAAAGGTGGGTGGTTGAAGGGCAGGTAAGTGCCCTGCTGTTCAAGGAGAGATTTAGGCGGGATGGCAAGAAACCGGAGGGGCGTGGGAGCTCTTTGCATTTCGGTGCGCTGCTCCCCTGCGAGTTCTTGTTATTCGGCACGTGTGTTTCATCGTGTACATTGGATGTCTTTTCTAGAGGATCCCGATTTCTCACAAAGTGATCGAGAAGAGAAGGAGGGATCGGATCAACCGCTGTCTCAACGAGCTCGGGAAAACGGTGCCCATGGCTTTGGCAAAACAGGTAGGTGTGTCTGGGCATGTTATCTCTGGGGCAGAAAACGGAACGCGTCTTGCCAGACGAGTGAGACACCGATGAACCCAAGTTGTGCGTGGCTTCTTGGCTTCTTGCGTGGTGGCTCCTGTTTCTCCCCCCGCCCCGTCGGGACTGAGGTGGGGTAGGGTGGGGTGGGGAAGAGGAACTAGCGGTTCCGATCGCAAGAGGAGATCCTGATGACTGCAGTGCGAAACAGCCATTTGGGGGCATGCCACGAATCAAACAGTCAGGGCTTTTCTTCCCTCTCTGCGCTGCGCTTTGTACTTTTTAACTCTTAACGGACCTCAGAGCCTCCTTGACGTTTTGCTTCTCTTTTGACACATTTCAGAGTTCCGGCAAGCTGGAGAAAGCAGAGATTTTGGAGATGACCGTCCAGTACTTGAGAGCCCTTCATTCCGCGGATTTCCCTCGGGGAAGAGAAAAGGGTAGGCGCGCTCTTCGGTGGCGCTGCGCTCTCTGCGCTTGGCGGGCGGGCGGGCGAGGAGGCGAGCGCACGGAGAGACCCCGCGTAGCTGCTGGCCAGGCGCTGGGGAGTGATCTGGGCTGTACGTCACCTTTGTCTTTTAGGGGCAAACCTCAGGCGTTGAAATATGGATTTCTAGCCACCCGTGGGGCGGAAAGAAACAGGATAGGCTTCATCAGGAGAGATTCTGTGAATCTGGAGAGCTGGTCTGGTCTAGCGTGCTCTGGAGCCACGGGCAACGTGGTCGCTCTGTTTCCCACCTGTAATGTCGGGAGAAAAAAATGTTCTACCTCCGTCAGGTCCAGCCTAAGATATTTTGCTGTTAATCGGGGTCTGTGGCCCTATAATTAAGGGTTTTTAAAATAGATATTTTGCTGCCTAGAGTGAAGGAGAAAATCCCCTGGCTTCTCCTTCTGGGTGCAGAAGAATCTGAGGAAGAGCAATTGGTTAACTTGTGGGGTGCCGAACCTTTGGTGCTCCAGATGTTTTGGACTGCAATTTCCAGAATCCCCAGCCTGCATTGCCAAAGATAAAGGATAAAGCCTTAAGGGAACCGAGGAATGGGGACACATCACTCTGTTTGGGCTGCCACTGGCCACCCCTCCACCCCTGCTGCCCAAAGCAGCCGCCTCACTGCTTAATTTTCAGGAGGCCGAGCATGGTGGGGAATGAACCAGTGGATCAGTGGTCTCATAATTTGAAATGGAGAGTAATGAATTCTTTCTTTAACAAGTAAATAAATAAATAAATTAGTGGAAAACAAACTACTGCATTCAGAGTATTCCTGACTGTTTGGTGCAGAAGACCAATATTAAGACAGAACTCATTGTGCCTTGCCTGATGGCTAAGATTCTGCACTATATTGGAGACAAGATGCTTTGGTTGGATTGATCCATCAGGGCAGTATTTGTTATGTCTAGTTAAAAAAAAAGTGTGCGTATGTCTGTGTGTGAAGAGTTTGGTAGTAGTTATTGAATCATATTTACAGTGGCACAAGCCTTCTGGATTATATTTTATCAGTTATGTGGAACATTACGTTACATTTGACAAACCTGTTTTGGTGCATAGTGTCCACATGTACGACTATGAAGGATCATTCAGATTTTGCCTAGTCTGCTGGCTATTTTTAATCAATGGTTTAAATCCACATCCCATGCAACTACCATTGTGCAAATGATTGGGTTTTTGCTTAGCTTGAGCAAGGAGTTATCTGGTACCTCCTTGTGCAAACAGAAGCCCTTTTAGTTGCAGTGGGCAATCTTTGGCTTGCTTAATAGTGGAGCAGCAGAGCTGCTACTCTCTGTAGATTGAATAAGATATTGGTCATATTTCATTGCCTTCCACAGAGTGCCCTCTGTTCTCACCCCCCCCCTTTGACCAACTCAGAGACCTCCTTCAATGTACCAGCACATAGAAACTGCCAGTTTTTGAAGTCTGCTCCTAGACAGATTAGATTGATAGACTAGACTAAAGACATTTCTTATCTGTTTGCTGCAAGAGGAATGTACTGTATGAAGATCATATAGATTTTAGATGGGATGTTCTGGTCCCTTCTGGTCCAATGCAAAGCTCTAATGGAATTTCCTTCCTTCCTTCCTTCCAGCAGAGCTTCTTGCTGAGTTTGCCAACTACTTTCACTACGGCTACCATGAATGCATGAAGAACCTTGTTCACTACCTGACCACAGTGGAGCGGATGGAGACCAAGGATACCAAATATGCTCGGATTCTGGCTTTCCTGCAGTCTAAAGCCCGCTTTGTCACTGAACCCATCTTTACCTCGCTGGGATCTCTGCCGGAGCCAGACCTTTCATACCAGCTCCCACCAGCTCCAGACTGTTTGGGACACAGCACTAACGATCCTCTTTTCCAGCAGGGAGCTGGACATGGGCACTTTTCCTGGCACAGCTCTGCCAGGAACCCTGGTCTTCCTTACCTTCCCAATCCTGCCATGCCCCTCACTAGCCCTGGGCAGCAGCGCAGCACTTTCTTGTCATCAGTACAAGGTCTGGACCGCCACTACCTCAACCTGATTGGCCATTCCCACCCAGGCTCATTCAGTCTGCCAACTGGCCACCAGCATCCGTCTGTGCTATAGCCTACATCTGGGATTGCCAGCTTGTTTCCCAAAGAGGATTCCTGTGACTTTTAAGACCTATGCACAGAGAAATGTAGAACTTTTACGCTTCCAGTGCTGCCACACCTTTGGACTCCCCATCATCTTGTTCGTAAAGCTACAGAACACCTTCTCCAAGGTCAGGCAGTGCCCAAGAGTATCTGTGTAGGGCACATTTATATATCGAAGAGACTAAGTTACCTTGTACCACAGACTTCCTTCTGCAAATGTAAATAGAGATGAAATGTATAGCGGGGTTGGGGTTGGAGAGCAGTGAAATAAAGATGTACTGCTGGCAAAGGTTCAGCTTGTTATGTTTTGCTCTGTTTTTTTTTTTTTTATTTGTTTTCTGACTACCCTACTCTTCTAAATGTTTGCTCTGATGTTGGCTCAAATTCTATAATGGTGCATGGACATTGTGTGTTGTTGTTGTTTTTCTTTCTAAGAAAGGATGTAAGAAAGAAGCACAAAGAAAGAGTAGAGGGAAAGAAAAGGATGGGGCAAGTCTGTGCTAAATGGCTAAAGCCACTGGCCCAATCAAGGAAAATCAGCAGGAGTCTTACCATTGATTTAAGAGGTGTATAGTCACACTTAGAGCTTGAAAAGCTTACTTTGTTGAATTACAACTCCCAGAATTCCCCAGCTAGCTGGCAATGCTAAATGAAGGATTCTGGGAAGTGTAGTACAAGAAATAAGATTTCTAAGTGTTCAACTACACAGCTTTGCCTACAGCAAAACCCAGCTGTGGGAGAGCTCTCATACAGGTGCAGTGTCTTGTCCTTCCAGAGTGGCAATTTGCCCAGCCTGTGTGGCATGTTGAGAACATGAGTTGAATGGATGCTTATCGATTTCAATATGTACTGTTTTTGCTGTAGCTCAGTTCCAACACTTGTGGAGACCTTTTGCAATTGTTCATGGGAATGCAGAGGGCCATACTGGACCCCGCTCTCAGCAAGAATCAGTGGGGGTAACTGCTCATTTCACAATTTTTCCAAGTGTAAGCAAGACCACTACTATTCCCATCTAGCCCAATGCCAAGTATTGGGTCTGGGACATTTCTATAGGCAAAGCATGTGCACTACTGAACTTTTGCCAGCTCCCAGTTAATTGCATGAGACAGTTATGAACTTGACGACCAAGAACGGAAAGGAAAGGAAAGCTACCCAATTGTATAAGGAGTGCAATGGCTATGTGTCCATCATCCCAGCTGCATAGGGATGTGGCCATTCATACAACAGGTTTCTATCTAATCCTGGCTGCATAGCAATGCCACCACCTGTAGTTACATGGGCAACAAGAAGTGTTTGAACCAGATTTCAAACTGCCTGGAATATGGTGTCAGTCACCATATTCCAGGCAGTTTGAGATGACTGCGATAGATTAGGGGTGAGCAGAGCTTGGAAAAACATTTTCTTGAATCACAGCTCTCAGAGTCCCTTATGCTGGCCATGGTGCCCAGGAGAATCTGTGAATTTTTATAGCTGTGTCCTTGATAAGCCAGGAATAGTGCCCAAGTTCTGATTTTTTGTCAATCCAGTTGAAAAGTGAGTCTGCTTCAGAAGGCTATGTGCTATCCTGCTATGTGCTGAAAGAACCCATCATTTACTCAGAGATCTATCAGCCAGCCCAGGGGAAGTAGTCCCAGACAAATAAGTTCTTTCTACCACATTGTCATAAAAATCCTTTTATTGATTCCCTCACTTAGACATTGAAACTGGCATGGCATGGTTGTAGGACAACTTTACACAGAACGGGGCTGGTGAAGCTTTGGCCATCCCAAGCAACTATTTTCCCAAATTATCTCACTACTTATCAGGCTAGAGTGGCTTAAGGAACCTGGAGCAACAAAATCTGGAGGTTCTTCTTTAGCACTAGATTTTTGCACAACTCCCATAATGATCTAGGCAATGTAGCCTCTGGGGAATTCTGGGAACTGTAGTCCTAAAAAGTACCTTTTGTAAATTCTGGGGATAGGACCTTTGATCTGCATGGGATGCCTATTTAACTTACAGAGTTTCATCCTCCAGGCCTCCACAATCATCAAACAATAGGAAGCGAATTGCTGATTAGAGAGAACAGTAGGAATTTCCATGTGCTTTGCTCCCTCACTGTCTTTCCTGTCCATCAAATACACAGGAGTTGAGTAACTAGCTTGGAAGTATGATGGCCCAGCAACGTGATTCTGCCTCTCATCTGACTTCTGCGTTATTCTAGAGATGGGAAGAGTGGCGGGTTTTGTGGACTACAGATTCCAGAATCTCAGATCCAGCATGGCTGCTGGCCATATTAGTTCTGAGGTTTTGAAAGCTCATAATTCAGAAAAGTATTTTTTTTCATCTCTGCATCATTGTGCTCATCCCTCATCTTGGTAGCCTAATTCTGTTGTTGCCCAGTTCTTATGAAAGATGGAACCATAACTCTCTTACCGCTCTGTAGCCACTGTTCTTCCTCTTGAGAAGACCAGCTGCAGCTTAAGGTTGACACCATTACTATTACACTTGAGCTTCCTAGCAGAAATGTTACCATCCCATGTTCATTGAACTCAGAAAGTCTTGCAACTCTCCAAGTGCCTCGCTGTATGTTGCCAGGAATTGTTTTTCTTCCACCAGGTACAAGGGAGATTGTACCTGGCGTTTTCACCTGGTCTCTCATCTAAGCACCCACATCTGCTTAGTTCCAACAAAGTGAAAACTGCAATGCTATGCATGCCTTTTTTTGTACACACACTCATTTCAGTGAAACTTACTCCCACACACACGTGTATCAGGTTGCAGCCTGAACTCTGTATCTTCAGAACACCTACCATGGTGTAAGTCTCACGGAATGTAATTGAACTTACTTATGAGTAAACATACTTACTGGCATAGTTGACAATGATTCCAAACAGAAACTTTTGGCTGATAGCCAAAGCAGCCTCATGATTTCCTGGCAGAAGAGGGATTGGATCCAGTTTATTTCTGCATTCCTTCTGAAATCTGGGATGGCTAGAAGAAAAGGAAGACAGGGCTCCTGTGCATTTACTCATTGATTGAAACCCAGTTGGTGCAATTCCACTGGACGTAAATGGTGATGATGACATCACCTGCAATGTTACTCTTCATTTTAAGTTGATTTAAAATTTCCTGCACCCTCCCTCTTGTTTGAAGACCCCTTAGGGATCCTTTTTGCCTTCAGAAGCTTGAGGACAGTGGGCGGGGAAACTGTAATATCTGGAAATCACTGCCAGTGGTCCAGTCACTGTATTGGGATCACTACTGTTGATCCAGTGGTGATTTTTAGATATTAAAATTCCTCCCTCACCTTGAGGCTCCCAAAAGCTTCTTCAAGGTGAAAGAGAACCTTGGAATCTCAGAGCTGGGGGGAAAGAGATAGCCAATTTTTTAATCAAGTCAAAATAAACATGATCATTACTGGGTGATGATATCACCACCAATTTTGCCTAGGAAAGTTGTGCCAACTGGATTTCAGCCATTGTGAAGAACAGGGGTCTCCAAACGTTTCAGCTTGAGGGCCATATCATACATACTCCACATTTTTGAGGGCTGAAGGAAATTGTGCACGCATGCATGCATATGCATGCACTCCCACCCACCTGCCTGCACCCCCTGCCAGGTTGGATAAAAAGGCAAGGCGGGCCAGATGTGGCCCACGGGCCATAGTTTGAAGACCCCTGGACTGTAAAAGTAGGAATTTCCAACAAGCTACATTCTGATATTACATTTTAAAGACAAAGAGAGCAAGAGCCTATTTTTCCCCCTTTACTCCATTTTCTATACAAGCTAGCATGGCCACTTGCCCAATCTCTGACAATTACTACCCCCATATGACTGTTGGGAGGCAAACATGAGTCTGAAATAATAGTGGTTTGTCTAAACCCACCGAGTAATTTCATAGCTTCAGATCCCAGCTTTCATTATTTATTGTTCTGCAACATTATGTGGTGTTTTATCTTGTTGGTACTTTTTGACACAGAGAGTTACAAAAATGTCAGGAGACAAGTCACTGTGTGCAAACTGAATTGTAGGCTTCCATCATTGTTTTTTTATATAGCAGCTGATGCTCATCCTGCTCTTTATCTGCATCCACTTAACAAATGTACATTTAATTATTACATAAATACTCCATCTGTTCCTCTGAGGAGCTCAAGATGATGTACATGTTTCTGCCATTTTTAAAATTCCTCACGATAACCCTCTGAAATAGGTTAGCTTAACCACACAAAAGGCCAATGAATACTTTATGGAGCCTGTTTTGTTCAACACCGCAAGCACCTTACTGCACTACAAGGACAGGCAATCTGCTGTCTTCCAGATGTTTTGGACTAGAATTTCCATCATCTATTTACATTGGGTATACTGGCTGGGGCTAAATGGAATCTTAGCCCAACACATGTGGAGGATACCAGGTTGTCTATTCCACCACACAAAAACTAATTCTGATTTTCACATACAAACAGATCCTTGCACTGCTTTTAAAATTCATGAAAGTAAAACTAATAACAGATTTAATCATATTGAAGAATGTTTCAGCCAAAAGGCCAAGAAGCAAGAAGGAAAAAATGATTGAAAATAAGAACTTTAATTTCAAAAGTTCATAGAAAAGTTCGTAGTTCTCCGAGCTGGATAGAAGCATATAGTCAATTAGCAGAATGGGAAAAAAAATACTCACAGAAGCACTCCAGCAGGAAAAATGATTTCTTGCATGTTCATGCAAAGTTTTGAAGGATTTGCTGCAGACAAATGCTTTTCTAGAAAGTGATTTTCCCCCCTGGTAAACTTTGGATACAAATCCTGGTAAAATCCATGCTTCTTTGCCATGATTGGGAACAAACTGGGAGAAAGGGGGTGGAACTTTCTGTTGCCTAGAAGAGCCCTCTAAACTGAAGTCTCAATAGGAAAAAAAGGATACATCAAAAGCATGTAAAACTCTATTAAAGTAATCAAAATTGTAATTTTAACCATTAGATTATTCTAAAACTAACA